ATAGGACCCATCCATCTGTGCACTTTCACACCTTCCATTCACAATTTATTTTATTTGCGAGCTCATGTTGCATTGCTAATACCATTAGCCAACCCTGCATTAGTCGGCTGATGTATCGTGGACCTGAAGAAACCTGACTACATCCCAGGAAAGGTCAAGAAAAGCATGTAATACAGACACTCATGTTCCACTCCTCCGAACACTTCCTCCCTTTAGACAGATCCAAATCAATAGAACAGTTTAAAATAAGCCTCTGCATTATTTCTGTTTCTAACTTTAGCAGCACATGCTATATATTTCTGTGAATGATGTTTTCTACTATTTCAGTAAACTGAGCCCTCCCAAAAGGAGGCAGAAATGTTCCATCATCACCACGCTCACAGATAAACCAATGTGGACTAATGATAAGCTCGAGATTTTCATATACAGCCACATAAATTGCCCAGGGAGTAACCATGTGTAAATTATGCAACAAATCAATGTAGAGAAACTTGACTATCTGCCGTGTCAGTGAAAACAGATGTGTAAACAGCATTTGGCAGTGATGGTCCAGTGATTGTCTTTTTTTCTTCTAGCCTGTCATCTGGCTACATCGGTGATCACACCAATCAGTCAATTTTCTTCTCCAGATATAAAGAAATACACTAAAACTTTTGGGAGATTTCTAGTTGGTCCACAAGAGTAAAATTATGATAGGGCACTAAAATTATTTGTTCCTTAGTAAATAATTTGTCTGTTTAATATTAATAATTAGCATAAATATATAAGTATATGCTAAGTATGTAATAACCTATAGGAATAATAATCATGTTGAACAAAAATACCATGTACAAAAAGTAGGTGACAACTTTGAAATGTAATAATTGCAACCAGGTCTCACAGCAAAATGTGTAATAGCTAGTCTAACAAATACACCTCCAAACTTGTGACCATGAAACATTTTCTGGGTCAAAAATTATGACATGGCAACATCTTTCTGGCAGCAATAACATAAGAAAACAGTTTGATTTAGGCACAGAAACGACATAGTT